AAAAGGGCTTTCACCTGAGGTTATCCTGACCCCTCTTAGCCTACCAGAGCCCAAGGGACCATTATTGAAAATACACTCTAAAACAGCAGTTCTCAACCTGTACTGTATTCAAGGGCTGCGGCATTAGGAAAGTTGAGAACCACCACTCTAAAAGAACGCTGCCTGTCACTGTGTTGTTGTAGTGTGGGTATCCTGGGCTGTTTGTTGTGATGGTTCACCGTCCTTTTTCTGTGTGTTTTGCTTAAGTGAACACACATTTGCATTTCTTGAGCAGCCCAGTGACAAGCCAGGAGAGGCCCAGAAGCTTTGAAGAATAGGGGAGAATCAGAGTTAAACATTCACCAGGAGCATAACCAAGCCTCTGGAACCTGTTGAGGGTGTGATATTCTATTTGTGCGCAACTTCTTCCAGCTCCTTCCCCTCCCGTGACTGAGTGATTCAGTCACTGGTACAGGGGTGAGTAGAGATGGAGATTTCAACCTAGCTCTTGGTAGAAATACTATGATGCTTTATCATCTATAAGTAGCATCAAGTCCTGATTTTTTCAAGGCTTATGGGTTTTCACTTTCACCCTCAAATGAAGGGCAGGCTCCAAGCCAAACCTTCCCATCTGCCCACCCAGTAGGCAAAGGCTTGCTCGGTGTTCCCAGGAAACAGAGGCTCTAGACATTCGCCAGAATGAACAAGCACCCTTTCCACGGCCACTGTAATTCCTGAGATCTAGTGAGTCTTCAGGAAAATTAAAGGCTGCTATTTTTACTTTCACGCATTCAAGTCACTCTGAAGGCCTCACTCAGAAGTATAATAATTATTCAACCCGACTGGGGCCCTCACGTGGGCTGGCCGCGGGATCCTGCTTTTGGTTTTTATTTTTCCTTCATTTCCTAACAGCATCCACCCACTCCCTGGGTTGACTTCATACTCCACGGGCTTTTCTTGCCTCTTGCTCATCTCTTCTCCTCCAGCTGCTGTAATTTGAGGCAGGAACCATACAGACTGTTCTTTGAAGCAATTCTCTGTCTTGCATAACCATTCTTTAGAAAGAGGAGAGCCATATGCTCTAAGAATGAAGGAGGCATTCTGAGAGGAAGAAGCCAAAGTGGCCACACGTGGACTCAGAATATCTCCTCCCAGAAAGCCAGTCCAAAAGTAACTGTCCTGGGTTGATATCTGCTTTCTTACCATTGGCTGTAAATGATATTTTGGTAAAAGATAGCCTTAATTATCCTAAGCAAATGACAACCTGTAAGGGCTGAATGCCATCACTTGAATCTCATCATCAGGTCTGTGATCAATGAGGCTGTATTGTTCTATAGAGAAATTTGAAAACACTTTCAAGACATTTTTTTAACATCACACCATAATGTCAAGTATATTGCAAGGATTATTCCCCTTGTCTTTTGATATAGGAAACAGGTAGTAGAGACAGTCCAAGAGCCAGGAGCTGTCCTTAATTTCTGCTGCCTCTGTCTTTCAGCAATCCTGACTGTGCTGTTTCACCCAGGCAGGCCTCATGTCTAACCTCTCTTCCAGGGTGGATAGAAGGTGACCCTGAAGGCTTGGACCAGAATAAAGACCTCACCAACTACCATTGCATCTATACTGACAGTGAAAATATAATGTTAAATTAACCCAAGAGGCTCCTACTATGTCTAGCACAAACAGAAACATTGACTCCGGGTTGTGGGGAAGAAAAGTCTGAAAGGAAATCAAAAGTATAACTGATATACTTTCCAAAATACAAAAGTTATGTCTTTCACCTCAAATGAAAGGGGAAAAAATGCTGCTCATGACTGACCAGAAAAGACATAATTTGATTTAACCCGAAACTATTCTCCTTTTGGGCCAATAAGATTTCTTTGAGAGTTTTTTACATGGCAATTAGTAAATCCATGTTAGCTGCAACCAGAAATGAAAAACCAAAGCAGAATGTCAAAATGCTTCTCCCAGAGTCCCATATAAAGAATTTAATGCGACAACACTGTAATATAAAAGCATTTCACTGGAGTGTCCAGAGCCTCCTTTTGAAGCACCCCAGCTGCTTTATTTAATCTATTAATTTTATGGTTCAACAATGACACCACTATAGATCTTACAAAAGGTTAGCACTGGGAAGGACCTTCAAAATAACTAGTTCAAATTCTTCATGAGAGGAGTAACACCTGGAGAGGTGAGATGACTTATCCAAAGTCACCAATTAATGAGTAACAGACATGACATCTGAATGCAGTTCTTTCGACCCCATCACACTAGGCTGCTATT